AAATCTTTCCTACTGAATTTGTTCTGATAGATTCCTCTATTTGAAGCCTAAAGAAATACTGTGTTCTCAATGTTTTTGTTGTTAAAGAACTTCCTAAAATGTGTCTATTCATTATTTATGTCACTAAGTCTAAACTAGCCCCATAGCTTAAGAAGATTCAGCTCACATTTTATGGTAGGTCTCATAAAGAACCAGTTATTAAGTGTTACAAATAAAAGTAACCACTTAGGTATCTATAGGAGTTTTGCTCTTTTTCTAAAATAGAACCCTGGCATTTTTTTTTGTGGGGGCAGGGGGTGTGTCTTTTTGAGATAGGGTTTCAGTATGCAGTTCAGGCTGGCCTTAAACTCACTTTGTAGCCCAAACTGTCCTCGAACTTGCAATGATCCTCCTGCCTCAGCCTCCCAAGTGCTGGGACTACGAGTATGCACTACCATGACCAGCACAGACATATTTTTTTGAGACACACACCACTAGGGAATCTCTTGCTTCTACATCTCTTACTGAGTAAGCCAAGAACAGAAAGCCCTAACCACTCTTTATCCAGACCATTTCTCAGAGTTGGGTTTCCAGCAAGCAACTTTAGAGGATGAAGAAAAGCTTCCTTCTAGACAATGAGAAGGCTTGCTTCCTGCTTGCTGTAAAAATGATAAATTCTCCAAGTTCCCGTTCCTCTACTAAAAAAAAAAAAAAAAAAAGAGAGAACGCCATGTACAGAGCATCCATCTGAGGCTGTATTATATCATACCCATGCTAACAATGCTAACAAAAACTGAAATCTCTAACGTAACTCTTTAACACCATTTCTAGAGAAAATAAACACCAAGTTCCAGTTTGGCATACCAGGAGAATACCCTCACACCACCTCTAATACCGGCTGGCCCAAGCACAGGAATTCCTTCCCTCCCTCCTCCAGCACCTCTTTTCATGATGGCTCTAGGGATCCTAGGCAGAGACCTCCAAGGAGTAGTCCCCTAGGGATGGAGAAAGTCAAGGTCCCTAAGCAAAGGTGTAGGAAAAGGGTATAAAGCAATGAAGGGTTTGAAAGGTGTTCACCGGAGTGAATGGGCAGGCAGGAAAGAATACCTAGCACCTCCTGAAAGTATAGTCAGCACCTCTTAATCAACCTCCCATCTGAGGTTACCTCTAGTTCTATACCAGTTTCTGATCATTTTCTTTCTATTCCGAGTCTTTTGCTGGCCCTTGGCCCACTGTAGAATATAATTTCATCACTTCTTTCCTGGCCCTTTATCCCAGTAACATAAATAATGTAATTTTATAACCCTAAAACAAGGGCAGTAATGTTTCATAAACTTTTGGTACTGGGATGGGTAGGCAGAAGTAGTAAGCGCAATGCAGATTTAAACAGACTGCTTGTTCTCCAGCCCTTGGTTTGACATCTGGCAAAATCCAACTGCCCTTTAAAGACAGATAAGCAGGCTCTCCTACGAGGTCCACTTTGTAGTTCCAAGATTCCCATGTATTAACAAAGTGCATAGAGAATTTCTACACTGAAATAAGAGACTATGTTCATTTTTTCCATTAGGATCAGAGCCAAAAGCAAACCACACTTTTTGAAAACTTAGGTAAGGTTTCCAAGAGTTAAACAAAACGGATTTACCAGCAAAAGGCAGGAAGAGTGAAATTATAATTTGAACCGGGCAAACTGTTTCATAACAAAAATGTGACACTTAATGCAGTTTGCAGAATACGGTATGCTAAAAACGCTACTTATGGCAGTAGCAGACCTCGAGAGAGAACAACTAGCCAAACAAAAGACCTAAAAAAAGTAGAAAAAAAGAGTAGCCATGTCAGCATCATAAAACCACAACACACTGATATAATATTTTTGCTGAATTATAACTTTTTCACCACACTTTTGGCTTAAGAGCACAAAAAGCGCATAATAAATTTCTTTTTACCATTTTGAATTAGGAATTTATACTAATTCAAATTATCCTAATTTAACAAGACTTAGGACTAACAAACACATGCACTGTTGAGGTCAACCAAGTTACTAACATAGAAGACAGTATGAGTAGATCAACGTTCTTTTCTGCAGCTCTTTTTGGAACAGATTTACTTTGTGTTCCTGGGTGACTTTGGGTTGGCCAGCTGATAGGACAGACTAACGCTTCATTAGTTGAAACAAATATTCCATCACAACCTCTACCAAAAAACTCACACTGACAAGGCTTGGCTCACTTCCTAATATGCTGGCCAAGTAAAAATAAGAACAAAAACCTCAATTCAGGTTGACTAGAAAATTATTCTAATGGTCTTTAAGTCTCTTGTACTAAACACAGACCACTTGAATCTTTTATAATACTGTCAACTCTAAATTTTGAAAAATAACAAGAATGCTAGAATAAGTACGGCCAAAACCAAAAGCTAACATTTATCAGTACTATACCTTCTCATCCTTCAGTTCCTCAGTATGAACTGAGACTTTGGTGGAAAATTACTCAACAAATTTTCAGAGTCCTCTTAAGAATGCAAAAGCAGAAGAGACATCATTTTTCACATCACAGAATCAATAAAAGATGTCTAGCTAATTGACCAACATATAGTTAAGTGAAATGTGTTTCAAAATTATAAAACTGGTCAGTGGCATACAATGATCACCAATGTTCAGATGCTCATTATTCAGATATTGACTTCCTCTAGTCTAAATATAATGGCTATCTAAAAAAAAAAATCTTAAGATTAGACAGAACTTTGCTATATCTTAACCTATACCTACTCCAGATAAGCCCTCCAGAATAACTCAGAATGCATCTATATTCCACATGACAACTTTCATTTCCCAGATATTGGTTCCCAGGTCTACTTTCATTCTTTTCTTTAACCCTTAAACCCTTCTTCTACCTATGCAATGGTTTATAGACACCCTCCCCATCCTACCGATGTTCCTCTGGATTTCCCCATGACTGGGATGCTATAATTGTATGATACAGACTTAGACTACCTCAGTATTTTAACAACTATGGCATACTATTGACCTATACATTTTAAAAGATAATTAGGCTTTTATCTTTTTATGTCTAAAGTATTTTGTGAAAAATATTTTAAATGTCCTAATATAATACATAAAAGCAACTTCAAATATTTTCTATAGTTTCATTGGGAACATTACACAAGAAACCTTCAAATTCATAATTTAAGGAGTATTCAATGGAAATTTTAAGGAATCTTTTAAATTTCTTTTTAAATCTTGTTTCATCATTCTTAACCTTTTTAGTTCTTAACCTTTTTAGTCTCCTATGTAAAGCATACTCTTTTCTTGTTAGTTGTACAACTTCTTAATTGAAAACACTGGGCTGGGGATGTAACTCAGTGGTGCAGCACCTGCCTGGCAAGTGGGAGGCCCTGGGTTCAATTCCCGGCACCAAAAAAAAGAAAGAAAAAGAAAATATCATGAAATGTTTTTTATTTTTGTTATCATCATTCTTTCACTTATTGTTACAAATTTTCTCATGCACCAAAAGGAGAGAAGGATTATACACTCAGCCTCCATTCCTATCAATACTTTTCTAGGGGCTGGGGATTTAGCTCAGCGGCAAAAGCGCCTGCCTGGCAAGTGCAAGGTTGTGAGTTCGGTTCCCGGTACCGGAGAAAAACCAAAACAAACAAACAAACAAACAAAAAAAAAATATTTTTCTAATCTTGATTTCCTCACCTGTCTTCACTTTGTGCCTTCAGAGCATTTTAAAATAAAAGACCATCTGAAACACATACTGTGCATTAGGGCCTACTATGTCATAAGTATTGTGCTTACTTATTCTAGTCTTCAAATATTATAATAAAATATGCAACCCTAATTCTTTCACTACTCATCTTCTGTATTCTCATATGGCACTAATATTCCCACTCAGTGTCTTGACATGCACTGTTTTCAATGTCTACACAAATTATAGGTGTCTTATGTTAGAACTTGGGTGCTCTACTCTTGGATGCTCAACTCTGCAATATTTGTTTTTCTGAGTTCTACTATATAGCCAGCTTACTTGGTTGCATTTATGGAACAGTACGGCAAATTCACAACAAATGGGTCACTGACACACTGGTTAATAAATTCTGGTAGGTGGACCAGACAATAGTCTTAGAAACAACCTTGCATAATTCACTACATTTAGGGAAAAAAATTTTTTTTTGGATTTGGAAAATATTTTAACAGTAATTTACCGAAAGAAAGGAAGGAGTAACAATACTAACAAGTAACATATAGGCTTTAAAGAAAATATATGGACTGTGCTTCCTCGATCATAATTTTAAACAATCCACCGTTAGATTGATTATTTCACTTAACTTCGACTAAATTTTAGTACGCTGATGTTCAATTACTGTTGAATAAATAACCACAGGAGCTATTTCTAATCATTTTCAAAGAAAGCGAGAGTTAGCTGGCAAGTATTACAAACAGGCTTAAGAAGAGACAGAGCTTAGGAAACTTCGTGATTTATAAGTTACAAGAAATCCCTACAACATGCGAGAAAATTTGAATGTTCACAAAGATGAGAAAGTTCCAAGTAATTTTTAAGAGGCAGAATTCCTCAGAGTAGCAAGTCATCATTATCAGGGCTGAAAACTTCAAAAATTCAAGAGAGAAGCTAAATATAAAACCTGCTTTAGATTCTTATCTGGGGAATTGTGAAAAGTATTTTTAATCAGGAAATATGAAAGAATCTGTAAAATATCAGTGGATGATCGGCTTGAGGGGGTGGATATGGATTGCGAGGAGAAGGTTCTAGAGAAGGAGTAACAGAAGGGAGGTATGCATACTTCACTGCTCACTGCGCCACTGCAGACTTTTAAAAACCTTCGATTCTGACATAATTAGCCTTACCCTAATTTCCCACCAACAACTGAATGTGCAGTTTCAACACACTCTTATTTCACACCATATGACATGAAAAAAAACAAACAGGGCAACAAATGCAAAAGGTGGTTTTTGTTTTTTTGAAATGAGGCATTAAAAGAGTACTACATTTAAAACTTACATCTGAGCCCACACTTCTCGTGGTACTTTGTAGGACAGGTTTAGTCACAGAAAGTTTTCCGTTCACCGGGCTGCTCACCACAGGGGCTGGCACCACATTCACCACATGATTAGGTAGCTGTGTGGCTCCCCCAGAGACAGCAAGGACAGGCTGAGCAGAGGGCAGAACTCCAGGAGTCTGAAGTTGTACCACAGTAGGCTGAGAGAGCAAAATGGTCTGACCTGCATTAGAAAGAAGAAAAGTAATCAGAGAGTGCATAACCATTGTAGCAGGGGAAGCAGCTTGACGTGTAAGTCTCTTCTATAGATGTAACAAGGCAAGATCAAAACTGAAGGATTTTATACCCTTAAGCAAAGCATGACCACAGCAGCACACAATCATGCTGACCCTGCTGCTTTGTTTTGTAATGGGATCAACTAAGTTAATTCCCTTTGAATTATCAATAACAACTATTTCTAGATTGTGTGCAGTAGCACATGCCTGGAGATCCAACACTAAGGAAACTGAGACAGGGAGGTCATTTCAGCCCAGGAGTGTGAGGCCAGCCTGGACAACATAGTGAGATTCGATCTCAACAAACAATAACAAAGAATACATTTCCATATTTATATTTCTCAACAACACACATATCAAATTTGCTGTTATACATAGTTTTCTTAAATGTCAGCCTCTGAAATTTATTAGTGCTAAAAGGATTTTGCCATTACAGATAATAAATCTTTCATACCAAACACAGAAAATCACATACATACACATAGATATGTATATTTTCTTAGGTTATGGCAATGGCTATTTTATTTTTAAAATTTATTACTACTTCATATTAATTATACAGATTAATAGGACTGTGTCACTTCAATACATACATATATTGTGCTTTGTTCAAATCTACCCTCCCTAATACTGTATCTTGCCCTCCCGTCCCTTACCCCCTATCCTTTTTCCCTTCCCTATTAGTCTCTCTTCTACTTTCAAATGTCATCCTTTTTAAGATTCCACATGAGAGAAAACATAGATTTTAAATTAATACAACCTACAAACACATGATACCAAAAATACGGGAACAGTCAGCAACTCAATAAAGGAAGAACAAGGAGCTATAAATACCAAAAACCTTAAAACCATTTGAGATGAATTCTTAGCTAACAAGCACAGTAAACATAAATTAAATTAAAACACCCTGTAGATAACCCCTACCAAAAAAATAGCCCTCTAGTTTTTTATTAGTATTCACATTTATGATTATTTTAAACTTATGCTTATCTAAAGAGACGATATCATTACCCTAAAGACTTACACAGCTCACAACAGTGACCTATAAAAAATGATACTTTCCTACTAAAAGTTTCTTTTCAGATCTGGTCAATTTTACAAGGTGCTGAAAGCCTTTCCTAATATCCACAGCTGCCTGGCCCTATATAGCGAAATAAGGGTATGACAGTAACCAGCAACTAAAATTCCATATAAATTTATAATTCTTTTCAAGGAAAAAGAAGCATTATACTTTCAGACAGCTTAACCTGACTCATGTCAAACTCAGCTTGGCATTTTAAAGGATAAGGAAAAACTAAAAATCAAAATAACCCTTCAGAACACCTGTTTGTTCGAAACATGTGTCTTGGCTAAAAAGATTACTTTTATGAAATCACAGTCTTGTTTCAGATGCTCTCAAAAAGCATACTCAAAATAGAAGTCAATTAATAGCACTTTGTTCCAGATAAGTTAGTAAGTTAATACAAAAAAATATCTAAAAATAATTTCAAAGCTTTGGAACACATACAATTTACTTGGGCATAAATGATCACGCAACATTTTTACCTTCTCATTTTTCTTTCTACTAACTTCCATTATGAAACAAAAACATAGAATGAAGAAATGGCTCATAAGCAGATATAAATATGCTTAGGCTAACTATGCAAATAAAAAGAATATAATAAATAGCATATGACCAAGGGCTGAGTTTTTAATAAGAATAATTAATAAGAAATTACAGTCAATTTGGCAGTATGAAAAGATATACTCACCATAACGTAAAACTTAAACCAAGAATTATCAATTCTGAATGTAAAAATTTTTCTTTAATATCACAATATCATAGTCACTCAAGATGATCACGGTTGCCCTTTCAGTCTTAAAGGACTGAGAAAATAAGTAATCAGGAAAGGCTATTTGGTAATGATTTAAAATAAATCTTTAGTTTACTAATCTGAAGTACAGCCACAGAGATTTGAAAAATAGCTAAAATGATATATGAAACAAATTGGCTATTTCTTCTTCAGAAAATGCTTGCTACAGATATGGATTTAAGGGCGTCTTGCAAAATACCACATGCCACTACTCTCCTCATTCATACTCAGGGTCCAGAGTTTACCGACTGAAAACCACTGAACTAACCCAGTAGCCAGAGAGGGGCACTACAGAAAGCAGTGTTCTCTCCCCTTTAAACTTAAGAATTACAATAAAAAGACTTTCCTCTCTACTCCTACAATAAACACTGTTCAGAATTTTGGGGATATTCCGAAATTAAAGGAGATGGTGAACACGTAGAAGTATGTCATTTTAACGAAAAGATAAGGTCAGGCGTGGTGGAGAACACCTGTAATCACAGTACTTGATAGGCTAAGGCAGGAGGATCACGGTGAGTTTGAGGCCAGCCTGGGCTACATAGTGAGACTCCGTCTCAAAAAAACAAAACAGAACAAATCAGACTTCTAGCTTCAATTATTAATCTAAAGCAGAAGCCTTTATAGTATTTCTTAAAACTAACACATACAGATGCCTTTATAGTATTTCTTAAAACTAATTAAGAAAAATAATTCAGTCTGCCCTCTGTCTGGCGATTGCCATCCCCTCACTGAAAGAAGCTCACAATGAAGAGAAAGAGATGGAGGGTCACCAAAACGAGGTCTGGGCACCAAACGTGGCTCGAGTCCAAGCAGGCCATTGCTGCTTCCCTTTTCCCACGCTGTACATCAAGCTCTTCCATCCCCAAATGCCCCACTATGCTCAAGTTACCAGCATTCAAATCCATGAACCCCTGAATATTCTAGCCATGCTTGAGTTCAGGACAGAATGGAGAGAAAACTAAATTTCGATTACCACAAGTTCAAGAACAAAAAGCTCTGGTGGTGATTTGCTAAATGCTGACCAGACCATAAAATACAATGCAAAGGACTGTTTGTGGCCTCAAGTAGTTAGCAGCTGAACATAGTTACTACTGTTCCGAGCGCAGGGACAGATAAAAGGGACAGACAAAAAGGCTGTTTATCCTGTTCAACATGCTCAAAATCCTCTCTGGCATTACATGCAAATCCCCTTAATGGAAGGCAGCTGGATTCAATGCTAGATACTTGTGACTATGTATAACTCACTGGTTTTGATGGTCAGTTCTTTCTTTTCGACTTTCTTCACAGATTTCAAACTATGTATCAAACATTTACTGAATGCCTACTTTGTCTAAAATAGACTACCTCTGTGAAAATTTGGGCAAATAATTTCTTTGTGCCCAGTTTTAGCTCTATAAAATGGAAATACTGGCACCTATTCTCACAGAGATAGCTGAATTAAATAAAACAACACACTTAAGAGTATCGGCATAATAAGAGCTTAAAATGGCATTTATCACTACTATTTTTTTTTTTTTTGAGGCAGGGTCTCACAGTGTAGTTTAGGCTGGCCTTGAATTCACCGTGTAGACCAGGCAGGCCTCAGGCTCACAGTGATTCTCCTGCCTCAGCCTCCAGAGTGCTGAGATTACAGGTGTGTACCACACCAGGCCAGGTTTACATGATTTACATTTTTACATAACAACAGTTTCCATAAGGACACTGCATGTACTAATAATTCATTAGTTCTTACACTAAGTTATATCATTTAACTTCCCAGTTAAACGGTAGAATTTTTCAGAATTCTTAAGAACAAGATCACATTTCACTCTTTTAGAAGCAATATAATAATTAATTACAGAGACTTAGCCAGACCACCTGGGCTCAAATTTTGGCTCCACTTCTTATTAGCAGTTGTTTTACCTCTATCGCCTGTTTCAATGATTTGTATTATCATCTAAAAAGCCCAAGATAGAAATCCTTCCTCTCAAAAGGAACCCTTCTCCACTACTGGGAATATAGACTGGTGCAACCACTGTGGAAATCAGTGTGGAGATTCTTCAAAAAACTAGGATGGAGGTTCCATTCCACTCAGCTATTCCCCTTCTGGTATCTTCTCAGAAAAATTAAAAACATCGTACCACAGCGATATATGTGCAACCATGTTTATAGCAGCACAATTTGTAATAGCTAGATCTTGGAAGCAACTCAAACGTCCATCAATGGAGGAATGGATAAAAAGATGTGGTCTTTTTATGCAATGGAATACTATTTAGCCTTAAAGAAGGATAAACTGAAGACTTTTATAGGTAAATGGATGCAACTCGAGACCATACTCATAAGTGAAATAAACCAGGCTCACTTATGTAAACATCCTGTTGTTCCCTTAGTGTGAGATGCTACAAGAGTAAATAAGATCTAAAATACACAATGGATATTGTAAAATGGGAAGAAACCGTTCAAAAGGAAAGAGAGACTGGGATGGGGGAAAGGAGAAAAGAAAGAAGGGAAATATATATATATATACACACACATGATAGTTAAGACAGTTATAGTACTAATTTCTCTTAGTTCATTGAAAAGAAAGGTTTGTGCTAATATTGTTTGGACAATTAAATGCCAATATCTTGTACTCTAAGTAACTAATTTAAAGATAACAATATGCAATGTATTAACCATTATTACTCTATTATCTTGTTTTAAAATTTGGGGTCTTTTTCTCTTTAAAATAAAATTTTTAAGAAGTTTAAAAAAAGAAATCCTTCCTGTCTATCCTTCATCCCCCTTCCACACCATTCAATTAGTAAGCCCTGCACTACACTTTTTAAAGCCTCTGTTCTCTCTCCACTGGTCTTTCATTTCACTGGTGTTCCCGGCTTGTATTACCTCCTACCTGCACTACTTATAACAATCTTAAAGGACACGTAGGACTTAGAAGCAGAAATAAGTAGAAAATGTTTCAGGTTGGTAGAATAGTAAGAGCCAAAAAAGAGTCAAGAAACTAGAAAAATCAAAAGAATTCAAAAGACAATACCAGATTCACTGAGCTAGAAGAAGGGGGCTATAGAAAAGAATGATATTACACTGTAAAGTTAGAAAACAAAACTGGAGCCAAATTGTGAGGGGTTTTATACTCTACACTATAGAATTTTAACCTTTTCAGTGGTAAACTACTACTCACACAGATACTGATTAACTGAAAAGTGCTTTCCCTCCTACCCCATTTTCAAATAAACGAAAGACATACACTTCAATTTGTACATTATAAAAATACCACCTCCCTAGATTGTACTATAAAAACAATTTTCAGTGCCTCATGTTAGCACATGCTCATAAAAAATAAAGACAATCTTCAGATCATGGGAAAGCACGCAAATTTCAAATAATGTGTGATTTGGGTTTCTTGAAATCGTAAATTCTCAGAAAAGAACAATTTGGTTTTTTGCCATAGGTAAAATTTTGTATCACTCACATATAGCTAATGGTCACTAAAAGCAAACTTGAAAGTACCAGAATTTTATTTTTAATGGATGTGTTTCAATAGTTTGTGGAAATGATAATGAGGTTCTCATGAGTTAAAACGTTTAATCTTTAGAAAGACATAAATCCTCTTGAGATCCTGATGAAAGTTTTGGAGATTGTCCCTAGGAAAACCCATATATGGACGTACACAAAATCATGTGCTTTATTTCAAGGAAGCCATGAATGCTTCACACCCATCTCTAGGTCACAGGGTATCTGTTCTTCATAAGAAAAAGGCAGCAGTGTTGACCTTATACTGAGAGGGCAGGCATTTCAAACTGTTTTTGTTTTCATTTGTTTTGTTGTGTTGTTAGGGGTCGATTAATGGATTTTATTTATCTACCCATTCTTTAATTTAGTTCTTTTTATCAATGTCCTATTTTCTATGAGCATGTAAATAGAACAAAGATAACAAAGAAAATCCAATTTCTGACCTTGCCCTCATTAAAGCCATGCTTCAAAGAAATGAGCCAACTATTCACAACTGTAAATAGAGTCATAAAAGCAAATGGTACATTGGTGTTTACAACTCATACCCAATTAATACCCAGTGGTACTGGTACCAGTGAGCTAAATCTACAGGAAAAAATGTTATGTAAGTTTTCTCATATTCACTATACATATGTCAGTATGAGCAAAATGACTGCAAAGCTGCTAAGAGACCTCTATGAGCAAATAATTCCCGTATCTAAAGAGTGCCAAACCCTCAAACTGGAACTTCTTTCAATACTGACCTAAATTTCTTATAGAAAACAAGTATGTGAGGCCATCTAGTGGATAAAATACAGAAACAAATTCTCAGCTAGTTAAAGGCAGAGTTCAGTTCTCTTAACACCTAGATCAGTACTAAATATGAGGTCTCCTCGGAAATTACAAGCTGGACTCTATTGCTAAAACACACCTGTTTGACCTGAAATGAACCATATTATTTTCAATACTGGCTACTCCTTAAAAACAAAGGCAAGTTCATAGCCACAAAGATCTCAGAATAAAACGGCATCAGAATTTTCTTCATTATAAAACCAAAAGCCATTAAGTAAAACTTTTGAAGATAGGTGTTGGCATAATTTAAACTATAAGAAAAAGCAGTATCAGCTGTAACTGATCTGCAGAGCTACCTCTGTCAAGACTAGACCACATATTAGTCATCTCTGAAACCAAAGACATTTCCTGACACACAGCACATGCACACAAATTATAACCTGGGTTAAAACAAATCATGTGACATAAGCCTCACTACTTTCCAAATAAACATAAACAGCCTCACATTATGCAGGTACCTTTAGTGGGTGTAGGTTGTATACTGATAACTGGATGCTGCTTTGCCAATGGCATAAGTGTCGGTAATGTCTGAATGATGATGGTTTTTGCTGGAACACTGGAGTTTGTTTGAGCCTTGGGTGCTGCTGGAAGTAATAAAGGCTTGGGCTGAATTGAAGGTTTTGAACTTATCAGAATTTTTTTCTTTGGAGTCATTCCATTTTCTGAAGGAAAAAAAACAGAGAGACAAATCAGTCTGAACACAATTAACCAAGACAGAGAAAACAGTTTATTACACACTTTTCTCACACATTATTTTCACTTCTGAGTAACTATCTTTATTGGAGTTTAAGCATAGCTACTCTATTATCTAAATGGACTAAGAAACCTCCTTAACAGAGAACTTACTTTTTGATAAAACTGCAGTTTTGGAAAGGGGACACATGAAATGGTAAGAAGAGTTAAAATCATGCAACAGTCTAGAGATTAACAAAGTAATAAACACCACAGTCAAATAGCCCTCACATTCCGTATCTTTAACTGAAACTTTGAAATCTCTCTTGAAATAAGATCATCTAAGGCTATTTTCAAGTATTTTTAACCTATAAAGACAGAGACCAGAGCCGGGCGTGGAGGTGCATGCCTGTAATTCCAGCACTCGGGAGGCTGAGGCAGGAGGATCGTTTCAAGTTCAAGAGCAGCCTGGGCTACAAAGTGAACTCAAGGCCAGCCTGAACTGCATAGCGAGACCCTGTCTCAAAAAGACAAAAAAAAAAAAAGACAAGAGACCATCGAAGATTATTTCTTCCCCTTTCTCTCCACAATGATCACTTATAACAAAAAAGGTCCATTAATTTAAAAACAGCAAACCAGTTTTATAAACGTATGTTGAAACTAACGTTTTATGTTAAGCAATGGAACCTAAGCTCTGTCTGAAACAGAAATTATGAGACAAAGCAATACCAGTTTTGTTTCTAGGACCAATAATGGGTTTGTCTTCCTTGAGTGGCTCTGCTGAGGATGGACTATTACAGTTTTCACCATACAAGGAAAGAGGAGACATCTGGGAACTAGAAGACAAATCCAACTCCTCCTATAGCAAAGACATAAATTAATACAGAAAAAACATAATATTTGAGTAGCACATTATTTACAAAGAGAGATGACAAAACTAATACATAAACAGAAAAACACTTCAAGGCAACTTCAAGGCAAAGATGTGTTATGTTAGATAATCTATGTGATATATTATCTATAGATTAAGTACATGACTAAGGAAAAAATCAACATTACCCACTAATTCCAAAAGAAAACTAACTCAAAATGTAGAAGATGGCTATGTCATCTTCTACATTTCCTCCCATAAAGAATATAACTTATTTGATATCTTATATAAACATATAGTATCATTATAAGGCTACTGTTAAAATGTTAATGTCTTTTCTCCATAGTCTTTTATTCAGTCTTAAAAGAATCTCAAATGCAAAATAATTCCTACCATTTTCATTCTTTCCTATCTACTAAGACTATCTTCATCCCAACTGTTTTAAAAGAAAGACAAAAATTGAGAGGAACCACACTGTTTTCTTTAATGTATGAATTGCTAATGCAAAGATATATAGAAGCAACTTTAATATTTTCCAAGTCTTTTCATATGGAATGGATCTGTCTCATTTTGTTAGAATAAAAAAGCTTAACATAAGATAAAAGTAGCATTTCAAAAAAAGATAGTATGTGTCATATAGAATAGCATACCCTTCATATCATATTCAAAATAATCCCTAAGATCATTAAAAGAAAATTTACAAAAATACTTATTTATTTTCAGAATGATGTAGGCTCAATTAAATCAAAATACCCAGAAGCCATAAAGAAAGAAAAAACAGATTTGAACAGTAATAATCCAAATATTCAACTGTGAAAACTAGATTCAACAATAAAAGATACATGCTACAAGAAAATACTTGCCAAAAATGGACAAAGGATAGGAAAAGCCATTTTACTGAAAGAAAATGCAAATGGTAGCCAAAGTCAAATTAAAAAGTTTGTTTGTTACCATAAAGAAAAGAAGACTCAGAGATGATATGAGAGAAATAGCTAGTCAGTCTCAGTGGTAAGAGTGAGACATGCTTCCCTATCCATCCTTTATACCTACTCAGCATGTGACCAGGAGCTGTGCTATACTAACCTTATAAAATGCATTATAAATTACTTGTAAGAAACAAAAGAGTATAAGATGACAACACAGAAGGAGACTATTATATTCACAACCTTAAAAGCTTAACAGGTATTTGATAAAAGTTAGCAAGAATACAAGGATTAGAAGGATGCTTTCTTAACATTATTTTTAAGATGCTATGTGTAATTATTACACAGTGAAAGCCATACTTAGTGGTGCATACTTAGCCATACTGAGATCATTACCATTAAAATCAAGATAAGAAAGATACTTGCTTTTCCTATAATTTTAGGAAACATAGCTGTATCAGAAAATGAAATAAATGGAACAAACATTAAAATAGAAGACACAGAAGAGTCTTTCTGCAAGGTGATATGTGCTTACTTGGAATACACACAAGAATCAACTGAAGAAGTATCTGACTATGAAAATAATGTTTTAATATTCACTTATAAAATATAATAAACAGGAAAAAGATAGTAACTCAGTAGAAAAATTATCAAAGAACAAGAATATAGGGAAAAAGAAAGTCCAAGAAACTAATGAGAATGTAGAAAAATGCTGAAAACAATCAGTTATCAAAGAAATACAAATTAAGCTAGGCATGGTGGTGCATGCCTATAATCCCAGCATTGAGGAGCTGAGGCAAGAGGACCACCTCAAGTTTGAGGCCAGACTGAATTACATAGCAAGATATTGTCTCAAAAAAAAAAAGGAAAGAAAGAAGTATAAATTAATACAATGCAGTACTACTCTGCCGTAAAGGATAAACTTGAGTTATTTGTGGGAATATGGATACACCTTGAGACTATAATGTTAAGTGAAATAAATCAAACATACTACCTTAAGTATCACCATGGTTTCTCTTATATGAAAAACCCAAAGTATAAATAATTTGAAGAGTAAAGTAAATGTTAGATAATAAGTAACAGGGAGATAGATCTTTGCAAATGGGAAGGGGACCTAGAGGTGTGAAGCAGAAAGAATGCAGAGAAAGGGGCAGTAAAAAGAACTAACGTGTTACATACAGGTACCAACTCCCCATGATGGATGGGCTAAGATTTTATTAAAGTTTAATAGCTCCTTAGTACAGTTAACATCCTACTGATTTATTCAGATGAGATAATGATGGCCTGGCAGGAGCAGAAAAAAAACATAGAGACATTAAACAGCCAGAATCACCAGAGTTTTTGATTGAATGTAAAGCCTACCAGAATGAAGATGTCTCAATCTACAGCAGATATAAATATAAGGAAATACTAATTTGAACTTTCTTCTTGTATCTTCCCTCTATTATCTAAATCAGGGACTTCCTTTTCTTTACCTCAGGGATTTTGTCTTAATGAAAAGCAGAAGCACTCTTATGGAGCTAACAGACTTTAGTAAAGACCTTACCACACACAAAAAATAGTGGTGGGCATTTCTGAACTAAAGAGATCATTCTAGGTTTGATAGGTAAGGAGTTACAAAAACTAACAATCTTAACTAGGCATGATAGCACACTCCTGTAGTCCCAGCACTCAGTAGGCTGAAGCAGGAACATCGCTGTGATTTAAGACCAGCCTACACTACATGCCAGCCTGAACTATACAGCAAGACCCTGTATAAAAAAAAAAAAAAAAAAAAAAATTAACCATCATTCTTCCAACTCCTTAAAAAATGTATATTCTGAGCCAGGCATGATAGCACAAGCCTATAATCCCAGCACTCAGGAGGCTAAGGCAGGAGAATTGTTGAGAGTTTGGGACCAGCCTGAGCTACAAAGTGAGCCCAAGGCCAGCCTGAACTGTATAATGAGACCCTGTCTCAGAAAGACAAAAAAAGAAAAACAGAATGTATATTCTAATAGGAAGAAGAGCAAGACACAAGGACAATAAGCCAATAAACAATAACAAAAAACTACATAGTGGCAAAATAGAAAAACAATAAAATTATAGATGCAGGAGATAGGGGAAGGAGGTCAAAAGCAAAGACACTAACAACTTTCTAGCTTCCACCAGGCCCTCCCTCAAGTCTCCACTTCCTTCGGCGATAAGTAATAATAAGGCCCTTCCTTAACAAAAGGTAACTACCTCCCCATGCACATGTTTTCCAGACAGCACTATAACCTAAATCACTGTTAAAGACTGGCTACTTACAGGAACATGCTGAGTTGAAGAACAGGAGTCCACTGACTGAGGAGATGAGACTGAACAACTTGAGGAAGCTGGAGAAAGCGGCTGAGGTTCTGCCTTAATATCTTTAACTGAAAAACAAAGAATAAAGGTTCTTCTCACTGGATAGTGTAAACTCAAAATAAAATGAATAAGAAAGGTAAAATCTACTCTTAAAATTCAATCCAGTATGGAAGCTAAGGTCACCAAAATATACCATTAAATGAAAATGCAAGAAGCAGAAAAAAGATACGTTTCCATTTGTGTTATAAGTTGTACACGTAATACAACTGCTGACATCTGCCCTGATCAGGAGGCTTAAAAAAAAGGAATTGCTAACAGTGGTTGTTGGCTCTGAGCAAAACTTGTTGGCTGAGGAATAAGAGCAAAAGGAGACATTTTTCTACTCCATAAACTTTTGGACCTTTTAAATATTACATCATATGCAAAAAAATTATAAATTCATCTCAATTTTTTTTTAAATTTAAGAAACAGGAAAAGCCTTTCTGATGGTATAATTAAAATCACAAAAACATTCATATCTTTGGAACTATTAATTTATTCTATACGAATTTATGAGCAACTACAGCCCAGGCAGTATCCTTGTCAAAGATATAACTTCTTTTTTTTTTTTTTTTTTTGGTTTTTCTCCGGTACCGGGAACTGAACTCACAACCTTGCGCTTGCCAGGCAGGTGCTTTTGCCGCTGAGCTAAATCCCCAGCCCCTCAAAGATATAACTGAGCAGGTGTGGCAGACTGTTTTCCAGAGACACAGAATATTTACCGTCCCACATGATCTATGATGTGACCCTGCCACTTCCCCATCAAAGAATGGAATCTCTTCCCCCTTGCCTTACATTCAGGTGGGCTTATGACTCCTTCAGTCAAAAGAGTGTGACGGACAGTAATACTATGTGAATTCTGAGGCGAGATGCTCTGTGCACCAGAACACTCAGAGTTGGAGCCTTCTGCCTACTCTGACACCACCCTGCACAGGCAGACATATGAGTAAAGAAACATCCAGATGATTCTAGCTCCTAAACGTCACCCTAGTCCAGCCTTCAAATCTCTCTAGTTGAGGTCTGGACATCACAGAGCAGAGACAAGGCACTCATGGGGTACTCAGTCTAAATTCCTGACACACAGATTCTAGGAACCTAATTAAATGCCATTTTTTAAAAGCTGCTCAGATTTAGAGTAGTTTATTACACAATAGTAACCAGGATACTGCCCTTGTATATTCCAAATTCTATAAGGGAAGATAGGCATTGAGCAAGATAGTTAGACACATAAAATGAAGGGGAATAGGAAGGCAACAGAGAGGGAATTAGATGGAGGTATGTGCTGGTCATTTACCCTTTGTCTTTCAGCTCTGAGTCCACCTGCTACACTTGGTGATGCAAATTATTACCATATATCCCAGCTGGCTTCCTTTTAGAGCCTGTCAATAGGGAGCACTAGAAGGATGCTAGAAAACAGGAAAAAGGATTTCTTTTTCCTCCCATGAGCTCTAGCCCAGCAGCAATAATTTGCTCCAGCTTTCAGCTTCTTCCAGCACACCCAACCTCACCTCATCAAGCTCCCTTAAAGATGTTACCATCAACCAACAGTGCCCCTCCTCAGACGCATGCATAGCAAATGCATCGGGCCCCACCAGCAAGCTCCTAGATTTTGGTAACCCAACCTCCTCCCTTTGTTCCTTAATCCAACTGGGCCCCCAGATAGGTGAGTCTCCTATAGAGATGTTATTCATAATCTGACATCAATATTTCTATATCTGATAAGATTTATTCATTTGTTATATTTCTGAAACATAACTATGAAATTTTTTATATTCCTTATGGGAAGAAATGTATTTATGCCTTGGTATACCAGAAACAGGATATACAGCTCCTAAAATCTTTTAACCTACCAGAACAGTTAATAGCCCCACCTAATTCTGAGTACCACCAAACTGCAAAATAAAGTGGATCTTGGGCCAGGTGTGGTGGCACACACCTGTAATCCCAGCACTCGAGAGGCTGAGGCAGGAGGATTGTTGCAAGTTCAAGACCAGCCTGGGCTACAAAGTGAGCTCAAAGCCGGCCTGAACTGCATAGGGAGACCCTGTCTCAAAAAGACAAAAAAAAAAATCATAAATAAAGTGGACCTGGTTAAACTTTCAGCAATGAAGCACAGCATTACCTGTACAGAACTGGTTGTTTATGCCCCAAATGTCTGACTCCCAAGGCATCAAATCCAAATCAAAGTCCAGATGATCAAAATTACTTTCCTGTAGGTTTCAAATCAGCAAAAGAATATTAAAACAAAATATATACATCTTGAAATCAAACTACCAGACAAAATTTTCATAAATAATATTACTGCTAAGACCCAAACAAGTAAAAAGAATTATCTCCATCAAGTGGTTCATCTCCAGAATACATCTTGGAGAACTGAGAAATAAACTAATTCAGTTATTTGTAGCAAAGCAGTAACCCCAAGAAGGAAGTAATGGAATCAATACTTAAAAGATTTAGTTGGACTCATTCTTTCCTGTGGGAACAAACCACTAGAGGAGTCACAAAACGTGTCTTTTGCCATAGGGGAGCTCCAGCAAAACAGGTTTTCCCATTGCCGTTAAGGAAAACAAGTGCAAACCAATAGATGTTCATAATATCATCTCTGCATACAAAGGAAATACAGATATATCCAAACAAAAATGTAGGAGTTATTAAAAAGGGTAATTTCCTTCTTTTTTTCTACTGCATTATACTTTTTCAAATTTCTAAAATTTTTATGAATTTTTAAAGACATTTTTTATTCCTAGAATATAAAATTAAGTTTCTCAAAGAGGGGTCAACAAAATTTCTTGAGAGGACCTTCATTAGTTTCCCTTCATTTAGGTTTTAAAGTTTTTTACTTAAAAATGAACACATTCTGGCCAGGAGTGATGGTGCACACCTGTAATCCCAGCACTTGGGAGGCTGAGGCAGGAGGATGGCACTATTCGCAAGTGGTGGCAGCAAATTCGAGGTCAGCTGGGGTTATACAGTGAGTTCAAGGCCAGTCTGAACTACATATCAAGACTGCCTCAAAACAAAACAAAACAACATATTCTGGCTCATCCAAATGGCACTTTATATTATATATATAAATAAAGAACTGCTATATGATTTCAGAGCCTTCTTGTGGGTTTGCCATCAAGACAGTTCCAAACAATACTGCTTTTTGTTTTTTCCAAACCATACTGCTTTTTGTTTTTCCAACAGGCTAGGAATTGAACCCAGAACCTCCTGCATGGTTAGGCAAGCACTACTGAGCTACAACCCCAGCTCTTTTTGAATCACTATGAGACAGGTTCTGATAAGTTGGCCAGGTTAGTCTCAAACTTGTAATCTTCCTGCCTCAGCCTCCTGAGTAGCTGAGTGATAGGTATGTGCCACCATGGCCAGCTTCAAACAATACTGTGTAAAAGGCAGACCATACTAACTTAATGTGACAGGTTATAAAAACAGTAATAATACAGTAAGTCTTAGTCAAAAAGTAAAACTTTATCTCATAATTGATAATAACTATTTGTCAATTTCTAGCACAATATTATCATTTCAAAATATCTATTGTATGGTTTATTTTTAGTGGGAACATAACAGAGAAAAGAGAAATTTTTTGTCAGACTGCTCTTAAAGGTACAAGGTACCTAAAGAAAATGTGTACAAGTTCACATGAAAAGAAACATTTCAATCATGAAAGAACCATTTTTAAAAACCAATTTCCCTTTTGTGTTTGAATCTATGCATTAAAAAATTTAGTAGTCTTGTATTTTCTGCGCCAAAAAAATCTTTTAACTTTTTTAGTCTAAATTTAACAATGCTGCTTGTTTGAGAGCCAGCAATACTTCTAAACATGTACAACAGTGGGTGTGATCTATTCCAAGGATGCTTCTGCTTCAGTCTTTAGCCTAAATAGCCAAATACCTACAACTAAAGAATTTTATCTAGTTGGAAATTTAACAGGTCTGTTTTATGTACAGGGAAGCACACTGGCTCTTGTATAGTATGGCTCTTTAAGGATGTATTATGAGAAATTCTTCCACTATGTGGAAGAAGGAAGACAGACACCCCTTCATATTATAATAGAAAGGTTAGGAGCTAAAAGACTAAGCTAAAGACTGTTACAAAGTAACAGAATGTTAGATATAAAATCAAGACCATATTTCTCTGAATCTTACACATTTAACACTTTTTTTTGACACCGGTTTTTAAAAATACACTGTAGGCTCTGGAGGTTATGAAAGAATATAAGTTGTTTAGTTAACCAGTCCCTACAAAAAAGCCAATTTAACCAATAGGTCACATTCTAAAGCATTTCACAGAGTAAACAAAATAATTAAAATTCCGCGCAGTGATTTAAAAAACTACAACATGGACTTCACTATCTTCTACTGATTTATAGCAAAATAGCTGCCAAATCATTCTTTGAGAATGTCTTAGTCTCAAGCCAGGGTTATAAATCTTTATACTCAAGTTAATAAGAGCTTTAAAAATAAATGACCATCAGGGGCTGGGGATTTAGCTCAGCGGCAAAAGCGCCTGCCTGGCAAGCGCAAGGTCGTGAGTTTGGTTCCCAGTACCGGAGAAAAACCAAAAAAATAAAATAAAATACATGACCATCAACCTGGCTGATAAATTATTTTGGTTGATAAATTGCTCATTTAAGTTACTTTCTATGTGAAACCGTACTTGACCTATTAAAGAATAAGACAAAGTTAAAAGTTCGGGGATTCAGCTCAGTGGGACAACGCCTGCTTGGCAAGCGCAAGGTTGTGAGTTCAATTCCCGGTACCAGAAAACAAACAAACAAACAAACAAACAAAAAGTTCTTTAAGCCAATCAGCTTCACATATACTAACCAAAAAAAGGGAAAGACCAAAAAGAAAATCAAAGATATTTTTGAGGATTTGGTGTTACAAAAATTGCTTTTACATAAATCTCTAACTAATCAAAAGCAAAAGTAAGGATAAACCTAATTTTCAGTTTATACATAACTTTTAAAAAGCGAGGTTGGTAAATTCTGTTTGAATGAATTCATGACTCACATATACCCCTTAATATCACACCATTTCCCTTAAGCAGCAAAGATCTGCAAAAACCAAGAAGTCAGCAGTTTAATGACTTTCCCAAGGTCACTCATCCATGGGGCCAAAAAAATGGGCTTAGTATATGTCTTCTCACACCAAGACCAATGCAATTCTGTGTTGCTACATTTACTCACTACATAAGGGCTACTAACTTTTATAATTGGTAGTCAAAGTTAATAAAACTTAAATTACTAGCCTAAACGTGTTGTCTTGAAATCTTGCGATAACTAGAGTAAATATGAAATGTCACATCATTCACATTTCTCCTTTCATAAGTACTTACGTAAGTTTCATTTGTTGCATCCAACTGTAGTTCATCCATGTCTGTGAAATAACCAAGTTCAGCGAAGAGTGTAGAATCTTTAAACAAAAGACAGATTAACTGTCAATTCAATGATATGACATAAGAACAAGCACTGTATTACTATGCCAGCTCCATTAGGGTTTCTCATTAGCCATTAGTACTACTGACGATCTCAGGCACTGAGAATGACAAGCAGTTCAAAGCTGGTTTCTAACATATGTGTTGTTTTCCACATAATTTTTATTCTGTAAACTAAATCTTTACTCTAGGGATTTAAAAGGTTTTATGTTATATATCATGTTGGAATAACTGGTGGTGATTTTCTGGAACATCACTAGTAAGAATTCTGATGACACATCTGGGATCAGCACAAAAAAAAGTAACACGGTTGCTCAGCAATGAGAAGAGAGGACTATGGAGAATATGCAGGTACTGTGTACAAGCATCTACCAGCCATGCCGTAAGTTAAGGGAACAAATGATTTTTTATCTAGACAAAGGACTTATTTGCTTAAACTATTAAATTCAACGCTGTAAATTGAACTATATTCGAATTTCTTAATGAGGTTTTCCTTAGAAACCAAGAAAGTGACTTCCAGGAAGATGGTGAAGTGGTAAGCAGCAGAGAAGGAGCCTCTCTGAGATTTGGTGTCCAGACACCGGAAAATGGCAACGTAAGGAAGAAAAGAAGGACGTGGGTCCCCAGGACCCAGGAAGCATCTAAAGTAAGAATTGAAGCCCAGTGGGACAGCAAAGAAAGAAACTTCAATGAAGAAGAAGGAGATGGCAGGTGGTGCTTTCTCCCCAAGTGGGGACTCACTGCATGGGAGGGGCAGCTTGAACCTGCAGATTACTGCCAACCCCCAAGGCCTCCAAGGAGAGATGCATCAGTGGAACGAGCAGTGGATGCAGTGGCCTGTAGTGGCTAGTGAGTTATCCAGATTCAGACATACCCCAGAAGAGGGCGACTGGCCACCGGCCATCTTGGAGAGGGGCCAACTGAGCTCAGAACTCAAAACAGCTGTGGGCCAGCTCTATCTAATGGCTCCCAGTGACAGGGCTGGGATGCGGCATTCAAGACAGCAAGAGGTCAGGGAGCTGAATTAAAACTGGCAGGGAGCCGAGTTCAAGACAGCAGGAGGCTCACAGACTGTTGTTGCAGGCTGAACAAATCTGATTCCAGCCTCACAGCCAGAAATGAGCCTGAACTTCAATGGAACTAAAGGTGCCAGCTTGCTAAGATTATAAACTACCCTGCCATAAAGCTATGGCTGACTTGCTGGGATTAGTCAACTTGGATCGGGACTCTCTTTATCCACATTATCTACCAGTGACACTAGAGATGTGCCTTGAAGTGAACATTTTTTTTCTTAGTTTCTTCTTTCTTTCTCTCTTTTCCTGTTTTTTGTTTGGTTTTGTGTTGTTTTTTTCCTGATTTTTTTATTCCTGTTTTTATATGAGTGTGAACACAGAGTCTAGTTTTATTGTTGTTGTTGTGTTTTGTTGTTGTTTTCATTTCTTTCTTCTCTCTTTCCCTCCTGTCTTCTTCACCAGTTTCCCAAAGTTTTTAAAAATAGTATCCAAAAAAATGGAATACCTAGGAATCAGTCTAATGAAGGAAGTAGAAGACTTCAACATTGAAAACTACAGTACTCTGAAAAAAGAAGCATGAAGAGGAGATCAGGAAATGGAAGGACATTCCCTGTTCTTGCGTAGGAAGAACCAATACAGTGAAAAGGCCATACTTCCAAAATTATTATACAGATTTAATGCAATCCCGATCAAATTCCAACAGCATATCTCACAGAATTAGAGAAAATAATCCTAAAATTCATTTGGAACCAGAACCTACAATAGCAAAAACAATCTTAGGCAACAAAGGCAAGTCAGGGACATCACAATCTCTGATGTCCAGGGATTGAAATCATACTACAAAGCTACTTTGTTTTTGTTTTTTTGTTTTGTTTGTTTTTTTCCGGTACCAGGAATCAAACTCACATACAAAGCTACTTTGATTAAAAACAAAAAAACAAAACAGCATGGTACTGGCAAAAACAACAACAAACAAAAACAGTCCTGAAGATCAATGGAACGGATTAGAAGAGGCAGAAACAACTCCAGACACACTCAGCCACCCTATCTTTGACAAAGGAATCAAACACCTTTACTAGAAGAAAAATAGCCTAATAAATGGCGCTAGGAAAACTGTCTTTCCATACGCTGAAGACTAAAACTAGACCCATATCTTTCACCATGCACTAGACTAAAATCAAAATGGATTAAAGATCTAAACATTAAAACAGAAAGAATTAAAATCTTGGGCTGGGGATTTAGCTCAGCGGCAAAGCTCCTGCCTGGCAAGCGCAAGGTCATGAGTTCGATTCCTGGTACCAGAAGAAAAACAAACAAACAAACAAACAAACAGAAAGAATTAAAATCTGCAGGAAAATAGAATAGGTACAACTCCTTGAAGACACTGGTGTAGGTAGAGTCTTTATAAACACAACCCAAATCACATAGGAACTATCATAAAGAATCAACAACTGGAATAGTTTCTTATTAAAAAGCTTCTGCACAGCAAATGAACCACTCAGTGAAGAGACAACCCAGTGTGGGGAAAAAAATTTGCTAGTTGTTCCTCAGAGAAAGGACTATCTAGAATATATAAAGAACTCAAAAAAATTAACCCCCCCTCCAAATTTAAAGATCCAGTCCAAAAATGGGCATCTAAAATGGACACTTCTCAAATGAAGAAATAGAAACAACAAATATACGAAAAAATATTCAACATCACCAGTCATTCGAGAGATGCAAATTAAAACAATGCTGAGATTCCATCTCACTCCAGAAAGAATGGCTACCATCAAGAAATCAATCAATAACAAATGCTGATGGACTGTGGGGAAAAAGGAATCCTTCTCTACTGTTGGTGGGAGTAAAGTCTGGTGCAACTGCTATGGAAATTGGTGTGGAGATTCCTCAAAAAACTAAAACTAGAGATTCCATTCCAGCTATTCTCCTTCTTGGTATCTTCCCAAAAGACTTAAAAGTAATCCAACCACAGTGATATATGTGCACCCAAGCTTATAATGGCACAGTCTGTAATAGCTAAATCTTGGAAACAGCCCAAATATCCATCAACCAATGAACGGATAAAGAACAAGTGATTTATCTAATCTTTAAATGCAGTACTGCTCAGCCATAAAGGATAAACTTGAGATTTTTCTAGGTAAATGGATGCACCTTGAGACCATACTTTAAGTGAAATAAATTCACACACATGAGGTAAGTACCACATTGTTTCTCTGGTGTGACAAACCAGAAGTGTAAATAAGGACTAAAATGTGTAATAGCGATTGTGAAATAGGAAGAAAATGTTCAAGGGAGGGGGAGGGGGAAAGGACGGGAAAAGAAAAAAATGAAGAAAGAAGAAAAAATGGAAACAAAGCTTTTGTAAATAAAGAGAGGAGTGGGCGTTGAAGGGAGGGTAGGAGAAGGGGAAAAAAGAATCAAGATATATCACGTATGGGTATAAATTCCCTATGAATGTGATTATTACGTATACCTAAAATGTACCAATAAACTTAATTTTTTAAAAAAAGAAAACAAATCAAGAAAAACATGGACAAGAAGACTCTTCAGTAAACTAGGTTAAATACTTTTTGTAGAGAAAGGTCAGCGTGCTGACAAAGCCCAAGAAGGCTGATTATCATATAATCTGTAAAGTTTCTATTTTTCACTAACAGATTTAGAGATTCAAGGGCTTTCAAGAGTTCTCTAAATCTCAGTCTTCTCTAGTACTTTCGTCATTTCCTCACTACACATGGTCATGAACTAAATTATTCTATTATAGTTCTATTCTATTATGCAGTCTATTATTAACTTGGCCAATGACAGAAACATTTTACCAACTTAAAATAGTAGCCACTGTGGTGCCACAAACCTGTAATCCCAGCACTTGAGAGGCTAAGGCAGGAGATCTTCAGAGTTCGAGGCCAACCTGGGCTACATGGTGAGTTCAAGGCCAGCCTGAACTACATAGTGAGACCCTGCCTCAAAAAAAACTAGTACATAGCAAAAAAGTGTGTATATATAGTAATAATGCAAGGTTATTCATACAACTCTCAGAAAAGGCCAGAGTGCAAAGAGTACAAAAGCTGAAAAACATGTAAGTGAACAACTGGGACTTTGTACCTTACTTTACTTCTACACAGTTTTCTACATCTGCTGTCTCATTTCTTCCTCCCATTCATTCTTGAGCCTGCTTCCCTCCTACACACACACACACACACACACATACACACACACACAGTTAATAATATCACCAATGACATCCATATTGCTAAATTCAAATGTAATTCACAGTCTTCATCTTACTTGACCTATCAACAGCTTTTGGCACAGCTTAATCCTTTCATATTGACTGAAGAATTTTCTTCACTTAGCTTCCAAACTACTACATTCATTTGGTTTTCTCCCACCTAACTGGCTGACCCTCCCTCGATGGTTCTTCCCCCTCTCCCTAACATAAAACTGTCTCAGGAGGGGCTGGGGATTTAGCTCAGTGGCAAAAGCGCCTGCCTGGCAAGCGCAAGGTCGTGAGTTCAGTTCCCGGTACCGGAGAAAAACCAAAAAAAAAAAAAAAAAAAAAAACTGTCTCAGGGATCTGCATAAACTTTCCTATTTTACTCCCTTTGCGATTCCACTGAGCTCACAGCTTTAAAGTAGCATTTATATGCCAAGCGTTCCCAAATACACATCTCCAGTCCACATTCCAAGATGCATGTGTACACTGACATTGCTTCTTGACTCTTTAAAAAGCATCTTAAACTTAACACATCTCAAACTGAGCTCTTGATCACTCCCACCAAACCTCTTACTGTTTTGTCCCCATCTCAGTAAATGACAATTCAACTCTCCCAGTAGCTCAGTCCAAAAAGTTTGTAATCATTGCTTATTTCTTTTCCTCACTTTCTGTATTAAATCAACAAGCAAATCCAGCTCTGTACTCAAAAATTTATATTCATAATCTGACTTCCTATCTCTCCTTCTACTTT